GTGTGTGTGTGTGTGTGTGTGTATGTGTAGTAGTGTGTAGTGTAGTGTGTGTAGTGTAGTAGTGTAGTAGTGTGTGTAGTGTGTAGTGTGTAGTGTGTGTGTGTGTGTGTGTGTGTGTGTGTGTGTGTGTGTGTGTGTGTGTGTGTGTGTGTGTGTGTGTGTGTGTGTGTGTGTGTGTGTGTGTGTGTGTGTGTGTGTGTGTGTGTGTGTAAACAGGGATATAAGGATCCACTCTCATACATCCTGTGTTAGTATAAGCAGTCAGAATATTGAAAATGTAGATTGTAGATTTCCAAATTAACATTAAATTGCATATTCTAAACCCAACAGTGATTAATTTGCAGCTCCTCTGAGTCACCACGTTGCTCAGGCGGCCAGCAGTGCGTTGAGAGCGCTAACTCACTGATGGGAGAACAGCTGCTGAGCGGGCGATACATCACTCTGAAAAATCAAACTGCGATTGTTTTTGTTTACTGGCCCGGCTGCAGCTGGACCTCAGGATGACATTATCTTGATTACAAATCTGACTGTGACATAATTCAACTTCACCTGGAGAACTTAAGGCCGTCTGTTTGTCAGCTGCAGGACACAGGAATGGATTTCTAGCAGAAAGAGAAAGTGAACATTCAGCACAATTATTCTCCAGGAGTGACAGGCAGTCAGAAATACATTACATATTATTAAATCCACATACCATGCCCAGAGTTTAAATTAGAAATTACCCTCTGCACATTTACATAATCAATCATTTTTAAATCTGGAGTTTGGTGTAAACTTCCAGCATGCAGAGAACTTTGTTGTTCTCTCCTGAGCTACCTCGATCTTCAAATCAGGGGATAGAGACACTTCACCCCAAATTGCTCCTGTGGGGATTGTCCACAGTATTGAGTATGTAAATCGGTGACATGTAATAATCGACACATGCAAATCAATGTTCTTTGTAAAGTGTTACTTTAAGGTGAGCAAATCTTCATCTGCAGTCAGAAATGTTCGTTATCCTTTAATACTTTCATCCTTTGTCCAAACTGCAGACATGAATGGAGTCTCAACACTTGATTCTGGGCTCTTCATTGAAACACGCTCCAACCCTCAAATGGTCACATATAAATAATTTGGTGAAATTGGTTAATATTTCTAGTCTAAAATGGCACATTGCAAAAGATTTCTTGAAAACATGACTTTTATTTCCCAGCTTGCACTCTGTTTCTGCTGTCATACATTTCCCATTAAGGGTATACATTTATATATTATTGAACAATTTGTTTTCTATTTCACACCTATGTTTTACACCCATATTACACTGTTATTACACCCATATTACACACATTTAAAACCAATATTTCACTCATTTTATACTTTCATTAAACCCATATTACATCATTATTACACCGATTTAACATCCATATTAAAATGACATTACACCCATGCTGCACATTGACACAGCCTGTCAGAGGATAGAGAGGCCAGTTGAGGGTTCATGTGTTTAATGTGTTACTGCTGGACCTTTCCAACTATTTCATGGCATTTATTTAAAAAACTGAATTGAACAATCAGCAGATGAAATGATGATATACACCTTAAAGTTGACCTGATCAAACTTTTAATATCATAGAATCCCAAAGTGTGCAAGTTGGATTTAATTGATTGACCGACCTTGTTGAATTAATAAAAATGTGTGTTTTCCTCCGTCTGAGTTTTAATGAGTTTTACTCCATGAAATATGAGTCTGTTAATAGGAAACGTAAAGTTGTCGCGTCCTTGTTTCATTTTTAAAATCGAATGACTTCCTCCTATCCCCTGCTTCTTTTACAATAAACACAAAGGGGTATTTTCACAAGGAATGGATTGATAGCTTCATGAATTGAGAATCAAACCCAAAACACAAGCCTGTGAACCTGACATGATCATAACATGTCCCATTAAATGTTAAGGAGATAAAAAGTGTAACTGCTTGTGAACAATTAACATATGTGTCATTTAAAGGTCTCTTGCTTATAAAGAGTGACCATGTTGGTTTTTACGAGCTGATCGCTGGCACCTGGACGTGTGTCTCCGTCACACCAGCGTTTCATGTCTCATTACCAGAGATGAGAGTTAATGTGAGAGAGTCCAGGCATGACAAACCCTCCTTGTCCTTGGGTATATATATATATGTGTGTGTCTTCGCCCACTCATTTAATTAAATGGCCGGAGCTAGCCGCCATAACTGGGCTGTTCATTAAACCAGACAGAGGCAGAATGGATCCTAATCAGACCTGAAGGGAATGATTTCCTGGCAATTACTTTTTTGCATTTTTGAGATATCAATGGCTCTGTTTTGGATATGTGTGTTTGTGTTGCTCAGACAATAAGAATCTTTAGCCTGGAGGTTTGTTTGGAGACTTTTAATTTGATTGGGGGCCGACAATTTCCCAGAAGCAGTGACCTTGCAAGTGCAGAATCCTCCGTCTGATCATCTCGGTAGATAATTGTGTGTATCTGTATCTACACCGTGCATATGCCAACCACTGCCCCTCCTCACATGACACTGTATATGAAATGGTTTGTTCGTCTTGTTAATATGCTGCGTCTAATGGTGCGCATGAAAAGCAATCAGTGAGGCAGCCGAGGATCTGCTTGAGGAGCAACGTTAATAACTTAGGGAAGCAGGAGATTGCAATGCCCCCGCGGGCTCTGCAGAGAGTACAGTACACACAGGAAACTCTCAATATGCTGCATTCAGCACTAAGTTTGCTGTCCACTTCATTTCCCATGTTTGACTGTGTGGTCGAGGTTTGGATGCATACATACATATTGCAGCCTACTTACTCACAGGATATATTTTACTTTTTGTTTCATCTATGGACACACAACTTTTTCAGGAACGTGTCTTGCATGCATTCAGCACATATCGTTCCTATCTTGCTATAAAGGGTAGTTCATGCACACATACAGTACTGTAAACGGCGTCTGTGTGCAGGTCTGGGATCAGTGCATGCTGCATTCTGGCTGTTTACAGAACAGCAGCTTGAATAATTTACTCCCCGCCCATCGGAGCTGAACACACCTCCATCTTTTCTCCGCTCACTCCTAATGACAGCTGATGGGTGACGGTGTAAACACCAGTTAGTGTTTTGCTCAGTCCCTCCTCCTCGCTGGGTATTATTTTAAACACAATTGGCACGGGTGCAATATGCACTCATGATGAATGATGAAAGGTTTATGATCTAAATGCAAAACATTATATAATTTATTGCAGCCTCTGCTCATGGTGCATTGCTCAGTCAGCGCGAATCCTACAGAGGAAAAACCTATGTTCATAATTGATGTGGAGTTCAGCCGCGGACGGCAAATCTGCAATGCTGGTTAACAAACTGATTAACAGTCGGGATAACCCAGCATCTCTTTAACAGATTGGATATAGGCTATTTTTAGCATTTAAAAATGAAATGCACATGAAAAACGAATAAAAAGAAACCATGATTAGGATCAACTTACTTCCAATAAGGAACTTGAATAATCATTTAATCGGTCAATCAATTACGAAACCACAGCGAAAACAAACCACTGTGTTTGCCTTGTAATACCTACTGATCAGCGCGAACCAATCAAGAGTGTGAAAGGGATACAAAGACGACATTCAAACCAATGTCACCATTTGCCTAAATCACATAAGAAATCACACACCTGTGACATTTTTACTTTGGTTGAATTCTGTTTTTTGATTCAGTCCAATCGACAAAAACTCCCCACAAATTGATATTACATACTTTAGAAATGATAAGCCTCATCCGTACATTATGTATTGCTTTGTAAATTGTTTGTGGAGTCTTTAATTCCACCAGATCCCAGAATGAATTCCGACAAATATATATTTTTAAGCGTTTTAATAGAAAAACCTGACTTTCTGAACTCAAATGCTCTGAAATAACTCATCTGAATATAGAGGGGTTTAATATATTAATGTGCAGCTGTTGGTGGCGGATGTTATTTGATTTTTAAACAAGCTATTAAATTCAGTCTATAATCCTAATAGTTCATTAGTGTGAACAATGGTCTGAGGCGTTCAGATGAGTGAGACTGTGCTGATTATTGGATTTAAAACATCTCCTTATAACTGTGGACGCTTCCCTCAGAGGAGTTCTGTGTGTTGGACAGCAGCAGGGGACCTTCCATCTTACAACTATTTCTTCCAATGTATCATCATCCTCCTCATCCTCACATGGCCTAAAGGACAAAAATGCAATGTTTTCCTTGTGTAAGACAACATGCCGTGTCTCCTCAGCTGTCTTGTGACTGATGCGGGCGAACAACACACGCCACATCGTCCCAAATTGAAATGTCAGGCATCACGTTAATTCCTCAGAATCAGAGTAAGAGTGTTTCACCAAAGCCATGACCCCTTCTGCCCTTCCCTCTTCTTGTTTAAATACCCACGTTTTTTCATTTTTCATTTACAACTCGATCTCCAATCATTCCGCATCGCCGTCCTCCACCAGACGCTCACTCTCTCTCTCTCTCTCTCTCTCCCCCTCCCTTTCCCTTCTCTCTCTCTCTCTCTCTCTCCCCCTCTCCCTCTCTCTCCCGGTTCTCAGTGAGATGAAGCAGGAACTGGCGGAGGAAGGCAGCAGATGCTCCATCCTCACCAAGCAGCACCGCTTCAACGAGCACTGCTGCATCCGCTGCTGCGCGCCCTTCACCTTCCTCATCAACCCCAAGCGCCTGTGCCTGGACTGCCAGTACAATGTCTGCAAGACCTGCTGCACCTACAACAAGAGGGAGCAAGCCTGGCTGTGTGCCGCGTGCCAGAAGGGCAGGTTAGTGCCTACACACACACACACTCACACTCACTCACACACACACACTCACATGCCGGCGGGGAAGGAGGAGCAGGATTAGAGTGATGAATGGGGACGAGAGAAGCTGTGATGCCGGAGCAAGGAGAGGAAATAGAGATGTGGAATTTAGGGATTTAGGGACGAAGTGTTAATATGGAGACAGGTGTGAGGACTTTGGTGGTGTCAGCGCTGCAGGGAGGATGTTTTTGGACGTCCAACTCTTATTCATTTCTTATGCAAAGTCAACATGTTTCCTCCCTTTTTTGAACATTCCTCGTAGTTGTACAGCAGAGGAGGGAGGAGACGGGCACATCAAGGGATTCGATAATAAAAAGGGTGGTGGGAGACGGGGAGAAATTGAGGGGAACGTGCGTGTAATCTAAGTAATGTGTGTGTCGGGGGGGGGGGATAGAGGGGTTTTCGTTTGTCTACGCGCCGACTGTGTCGCACTAATATTGTTCTTGCTGTGGGCTGTAAGCTACCTTAGCGGGGGCCCAGTAATCCTGTCGGAATAGCAATAAAGAAAACGGTAAAATAATTAGGTTCATTACGGGAAGTCTTAAGGAAGCGTTTTGATGTTTTGTGTGTGGGACTGTAAGGTCTCCGGGCATCTTCTCATGACTATGGACGCAAAAGAGACGACAAGTATGGTAGAATAAAATAAAACCATCAGTTGCGCGTCTAGAAACGTGTAATGCACCAAACAGACATCGTCAACACTACACACTACACACACGGACAACACAACACCTTGCCAATACCACAGATCCACACACACACACGCAAACAGTATACACGAACGACTAACATTCTCCGCAAAGGACTATCCCGATATCACATAAACGAGTATCGTACGTAAGTCTCATAAAAGAGAGAAGATGTGTACATGATAGGTGTAGATGCCTCGTCCTTCTTTACTGTCGACTCTACATTCCAGGAGTCAAATGTGATAGTAGCGTAAGTATTGAATATCGTTTTGCAACTAAGTTTAGCTAGTAATCGACGCGAGTGTCGACCAGAAGTAAGCGAGCGCGGTTACACAGGCCCGGCCGACTGTGTGTATAGTGTGAAGGGATGCACAGGTAGTGAGGCACACAGCACAACAGACATCTATATATCGGACACCACTTCACCCACATGCATCTCACACCAGTTCAACTCCAGCACACACTACACGTAGTCTTTAACAGCTGACAGTCATCACACACTGAATAGTCCGGGGCACTCACACACAGGTCACACCGCAAGGAGGAAAGTGATTGAGGCGGTTGCCTTGCCGCTCGCGATGCATAAAATGTTAAGGACGAAGAGGGTCTGACTGTGTTTAGTTTCGTTAAAAGAAATGCGTTTATGTATGGTGTGATTTCGTTAATGGTTTATTTGATCACCTCGGAGACGATTCAGTTCGAACCTCTGAGTTGAGGTCTGTGACCATTTTTGTGGTGATGGTGTGGTGCGTCTCTTGTCCTCTCTTGTGGTACAATTTTTTTGGTCTAGAAAAATTCGGAATTACAGTGATTAGCCTACCGCAGACGTGCGCACCAATTACAATGTCAGCACTCACAACATAAACCTGTCAGTCAAAGTAAACACACGTCCGCGCATAAGCACTAACAAGCCGTCACAACGTAACATAGTATACTCACTTAAGTCGTTAAGGAGCTGGTGCTCACTAAGTATCGTTTGCGATTATTTCAGTCTGTCCGGCTCTTGTAAGTAATAGTCATCTCACTCATTATCAGCTGACGTTCTACGGCTGCGTCTTAGTTCCCTTATCTGTTTATCTGCCTTTCATCACCATAAGACTACGTATAGTGGCGTCGTCTAAAGCGTGCGAAATTGAATAGCGAACGTAGGGCCTGCCGTACGTAGAGAGATTTACATAAAGGGCAGGATCAAGTGTAGATAGAAACGGAGTATGTCGGAGAAAGACGCTAAGAATGACAAGTGGACGAGTATATCCGCCCGTCCGGATTGAGTTATGAGGGTCCTACCTCTCGCATTCAGGTACAGAGTACCCGTTCTAGTTATTTTCTGTTTTTCTCTAACTTTCCCTTCTTAGTCGGTTACTAGACGGTAGGAGTCGAATTGTGTGTGTTGTGTTTTCCCGCCTTTAGGTTTTCACTTGTGTGAAGTACAGACGAAAAAACCTTAAGATTTAGTGTGGGTTCTGACCCCTCAAGTATGGAGTATATAGACTTCCTAGTGTCGTCGAGGTCCCTTGTACAGTGGGTCGCAGAGATACTACTTCACCTATATGACACAGAGACCCGAGTGGATCCACAGAGTAAGAGAAGAAATTTTATGACACCTTCTTGTACGTTTGCTGTGTTTTAGTGAAGAATCGCGAGAAAAATGACGATCCCTGCCGCAAATGCAATAAAGGGTCAGACAGTCCGAGTTAGTTCGTTAAAAGAAACGTGTTAGAGGGTGATTATCGAAAAGGTTTCTATGACACCTCGAGACGACATCGAACCTCGCGGACTCGACATTAGTGCATTAGGTGACTGGGGCGTCTCTGTCTCTCCTGGCGTACATTTGCGTCTAAATCGGAAATTAGCGCGATACTTTTCACGACATAATATACACAACGAACCGTATTCGCGTCACAACACTGTACTCCAGGTAGACACTGAGTCTATGGTCTCGGGATTACTCCGTGCACTCGGGCTCGTCTGTCTCCCTCCTCTCCTCCTTCACCTCCCCTAGCTACGTCTTGGGGGCGGTGGAGAGGCCTAGCGTAGTAGGAGAAAGGGAGGAAGAGGAGAGACGGTGTGAGAGGAAGAATGGTCCCGTCTCCCAGTGAGTTTGGCCGCGACGTTTCTAGTATATTCTGTTTTTCTCTAACTCCTTCCTTTTTTAGTCCCGTTCACCTCAGGACAGGTGGAGTCGGAAATTTGTGTGTGTGTGTGTTTTCCCGACTTTTAGGTTTCACTTGTGTGGAGTACAGACGAAAAACCTAGATTTTAGTGTGGTTACTGGACCCTAAGTAATGAGATATATAAGAACTTTCCTAGGTTGTCGTCGGTCCCTGTCGTGGCGTGTATATCTGGGAATACTTCCTGTTGTGTACATACAATGCTAGTATAATATAGGGGTAGTGTCAACTTAGACACTTTTAAAGGGGCATCTCTGGCTGACGGCAACTCATAAAGGTCGTGGCGCGGCGAGCGACGAGTCTGAGTCTTTTTTTCGAATTATAAGCAGCCCCGTGATTTTGTAGGAGGGTTTCCGAAGCCTGTGTGTACGTACGTATTACGGAGCGTGTGTGAATGACGTATAAGTATGTGTCGTCGACGGAGAAGATGATGGAGTCGTAACAAAGGTGAACAAGTTATTTAGTATTTACGCGCGGGGAAACTATAGGTCAAACATTTCGTCCCCGGTTACTTTGTTTTTGGTAGTCCTTTTGTCTCAACACGCCGTGTAGTTAGTCGACAAGGGAGAAGACACACAAAGAAGTCGGCACATGTATAGTAAAA